TGATTAATTATTCGGTTTGTATTATTTATTCGGACCCTCCGCCGAGAGGGCGAATTTTGTAATAAGTATGCATGAGTGTGTGAATGTTTTCCAACCCCACGTCTTTCTCCATTTTACTTACCTGCTTTCAATGGTTAGTTTTAGGTCATGTTTCAATTAGCATCCTTATGCTCGCATGTTTGCATCATTCATCTGTATTGCATGCACCGGGCTCGGCGCATCATACTAACTGTATAATATTTCAATTCCAACTTGAATACGTGTATCGAGTTGTCGCATTTCACATGCCATTCTTAGATTGGCCGAGCCTATTCTAGTTGCATTTTTGCATGTGTTGCATTAGCCATCTTAACATGAACTAGGATCATGCATTTGATTACTAACTAGTTATTGTTTTGGCTCAGAGTACTAGGTAAGCATTTACGCTTTAGCATACCGCATGTGTGTAAGTGTTGCCATGATAGCATGCTTGCCATGAGGCTATTTGCTTATGTGATATAACTGCCTGAATGCTTGTGGGTGAAGGTTGGACTACCTGAATTGGAATAATTCATTGAATGCGAGTTTTAAGCCCATTCTGCGGGGTCGCAAAAATCATGTTTTCTAAGCCCACCCAAGGGTGGCAAATCCACGTTTTAGCCTACTTGTGAGTAGCACCATCAATCCATTTTCAAATAAACAAACATGAAATGTTTTGTTCCAATTTAGGCGATCCGGTCTATTCTTGTGTGTTGTGCGCATCACATAGTAATTTTAGGCTAATAACCGGAATAAGAACGCATATATTTTCAAAACAAAATATCATGTTTAGTACAAGCCGATCTTCGATCGGGCGAGAGGGGGTGCTCATTGCATGACCTTCCCCTCTTGTTTCTAGGTTCCCAAGCCGAGGCAACTTTGGTGAAGACGGACACGTGGCCTTAGGCAACGAGTCAGGGTTTCCTAAATTCCTTAAAAATAAAATATTTAGGTGGCGACTCTGTATCTAGCAAAACAGTCTATGTTTGGCACTTCTTTCTTAAAATTAGTTTTCCAAAACGATTTGCCGGATTTAGACTCTTTGGTGGTTTATCAGTCTTGCATTGCACTTTGCGAGATCAGATTAAGAACCATGACATTCGAGTTCGAACTGTAGTAAGCCCAAATGAACAAAACAGGATCCCCCCCCCCCGGGACATTCGGGCATGTCTACAGTTTCTGGTGACTCTGATGGGGACTTAGAGAGCTTGACTCGAACTCATGATATCTTGTTTTGACTACATTTATGTGTTTCTTTACATTGCATTTGCATTGGTGCGCCTAGGACATCGTGTTTGTCGTATGCTATTCTTGAACGGTTTGCCGGAGGCTTGCTTTGAAAAGCGTGCCATGAGACTGACCAGTTGCGGGCTCTGCCACGACGGGAACACAAACCCCGAGTTTACCGGGGCACCCTTTTTTGACCATTCGACCTAGTGCATATCGGAATCCATAGTGACTATTCCAAACTAGGACAGGTTGCTTACCCGATTATAGGTTGTTTTGAAACTGCCGTGTGCATAGTGAAACCCTAGCTCCTGACAAAATAGGACAGGGAAACCCTACCCCAACATAGGAATGTTTTGGCTCTTATTTGCTTGCTATGTGCTTTTAGAGTGTGCCTCTACAGGGAATGCACGTATCAGTTTGCAAGTCTGGGCATCAGGCCTGCGGGCATCAGTGTTTTGAGAATCAGTTATATCTGTGGGTATCAGATTCAGATTTGAGCCAGTGATTTTGAGAACAGTGATCAGTAGTTGAGAATGGTTCATTCAGCTTGTGTTTGCCAACTGTGTGTTGTCTTTATTTAAGCTGTTGTGCTGTCCGTTTTTCTATTCATTGTTTCCTTATTATTGCTTTATTTATCTTTTTGCAAGGTAGTTTAGCACCATTGATTCTGACCAGGCAGATATCCCCCGAGCACTCTGGGTTAGAGGTCATAGACTTAATCGATCTAGGGATCTGATAGACGGACAAGCAGTGTTCCTTTCTTTACCCCCGGTTACCAGACGGAGGTCAAAAAGGCGTAGTGTATCAGTACAGCAGTCGTCAGATCAGTGGTCTACCCCACCAGTGAACAGTCAGGCTGAGGTCTCAGTTTCCATTGCAGGGATAGATATACCAGTTATTAAGCTAGATCAACATAACATGGCAGGAATAAAGGAGATGATGCGTTAGCTCCAGGAAAGTATGAGGACTATGCAGCAAGACGTTGCCCGTTAAGCAGAATTTGCCAAACAATAAGCCGAGGTCATGGCCCAACAAGCAGAGTTAATCGCCAGGTTACAGCAGCAAACCGGAGCATCTACTTCACACCAAGTTCCTCCCCTACCAAGAGCTCCAATACCCGGGGAGACACCAAATGTCCAGGAAGATACGGACGTTCCCACAGGGCCGACTTTGCCCCCAATCCTACCCCAGCTATCCAAAACACCTACCAACCTACCGGATTCTCCCTTTGAGTTTGAGGTGGACCCCACAGTGTTGAAAGTGAGCAAGCTTGAAAAGCTGTTCAAGAAATTTCAGGGTGTGAAGTCCATTCCAGATATTGAGGATGGGTACACTGACTCAGCCGTGACGCTACCAGATCGGTTTAAAATGCAGCACATCGACCGCAAATATACGAAATATACATAGTCCATAGAGCTGTGTAGACATATATGGGATAAAAAATGTAAACGTTTTACAAATATACATGATGTCATAATGCAGGTCTTACGCCATATCCAATACAAAAGTAGCCAAAAGGGACTTAGCCCAATATACACATAACTGAAAACTTGTTCATACTTCAAAGAAGACAAGGTCTTAAACATATACCTCTTAGACTTGACTTGCTCACAAAAGGGAAACTCCTTGGAGGCACAATGGCTGGCTGACAAAACAGAATCTTAGGCCATCAACTCTGGGCCTGGTCACGAGCCTGCGTACCTACATACATAATAACAAATAGTGAGCTGGTGCCCAGTGATTAACAACAAACTAAAGGGTTTTAATGAATGATGTCCATCACAGAGTTAGAAATCAGAGTTTATATCAAAAATAGGTTTTTATCAGAAATAAAGTCTTATGCATATTCAGATTTCAAATCAAAAAATAGATTCATATACATGTTCAGTCGTCAAAGCAGAAACAGATTCATATACGTAGTTGCATTCGTATTCAAAGTTCTTATATTTCTCATTATAGTACATAGCACATCCATTAGCGTTAAGAAATCTGATGACCTATAAAGGGACGACCGTAAAGGGCATTCCGATGACTCATGTGCACCGAGACGTTTTTTATGACCTACAAAGGGACTGCCATGAAGGCATTCCGATGACCCATAAAGGGACGGCCAAAAGGTATTCCAATGACTCTTGTGTATAGAGACATTTCCGATGACCCATAATTGGGACGGCCATAAAGGCATTCCGATGACCTATAAAAGGACGGCCATAAAGGCACTCCAATGACCCATAAAAGGGACACATATTATATGATGCTAAGGATGCCATGAACACATTTCAAAAACTTGGACAATCATTTATTCATATAAAACATAACATTTCAGAAAACTGATCATTTCATATCATCAGAAAATAATTAAAGTCAAACATAACTTTATAGAGTTATTACTTACAATGGTTTGTGTTGTCACTAAGCCTCGGACGTCCATCTAAACAAAACACATAACAAAAGCATAATTGAAGTACCATTTCATTTTAATTTAATTCTCTTTATGTGTTGCTAGCTTATTTCATAACTATGCGAGTTCAAATGGTGCCTAAGAACACTTGGAGTGGCATGAGGATGCAAATATGCACTTAAAAGAGTTAGTCAAAAGTTGTTGAAAATAGGGTCTTCGCTCGAGCGGGGGTTCAAAAATAAGGGTGGTCGCTCGAGCGTAGCTTCCGTCACTCGAGCGGTCTGCAAACTTGGCAAAAGTACTGGTTGCATGAAATTCCCATTCGACGGTCGCTCGAGCGAAAGACTGAGTAAAAGGGTCCTCGCTCGCTCGAGCGCCACTTTGGTCGCTCGAGTGACTTGTAAAATTTTGGAAAACTTCTGGGAGCTCGATTTTCACACTCGAGCGACACTTTCCTCGCTTGAGCGAACAGTGCAAATTCTGGAATTTTTGGAACTGTGTTTGAACTTCAAAGTTAATATTCCAAAGGTTCCAAACTCGTGTTTTAGGCACAAAAACATGGGAAAACTTTATCAAACATGGAAACATAGTTAATTTGGAACCAATTGCTCAAAATCATTAACCAAATTCCCAAAATCTAGCTTAAACCATGAAGTTGAAACCATGCAAGAGAGGAACTCGTTAATCTCTTTGTAAAACTTGACCAAATGGTATGAAAAGTGTAGGAACATGAAAAACTTCTCAAATAAATGTGTGAGGGTTCATGCATGTAGAGAATTTCCTGAAATTCAAACTCAAATTAGTGATTCATGCATGTATGTATGCAATCATGCTCAATTCTTCCATAACCAAGATGATCCTAGCATATACCTTCTAAATTCATGCAAGTGGCCTCATAGCTTAGTGAATTCATTTCTTATATAGATTATCTACAAGAATTGAGTGTGGTTTCCATACCTAGAGTTAAATTCAAGTGCAATCCTAGCTCAAATGTTCAAGCCTTCTACAAATTCTCCTTTCTCTCTCTAACGTGTTAAGTTCTTCCTCAAAATCTCAGCCAAATCATGTATAAGTGAGGTCATCAGCTTAATGGGCCTATTTAAATGGTATAATTAGCTTAGTCTAATCAAGGTTGGTTAAGGCTAATCAAGTGGGCATCAAATTAATCTAAGTTAATCGTTCTGAATCGAAATCCAATTGAATCTACCATAATGTTCTAAAAATTCCAAATAACAAGTATACCAAGTCAATTTCGTGATTGGATGCCGATAGAATTTCAAACAGATATTCCTGTAATAAATAGATATAAATACAAATAATGCAATACACAGGCAATTAATGCAAACTTTCACTTTAATTACTTATTAAGCCTTCTTAATCATGGAATATACGTTAATTATGGGTAGGGATTGTTACAAAGAACATGATCTCAGTGGGAATCACGGGAAACCTAGGAATTGAAGCAACGATAGGGGCACCTCCAGTAGGGGCATCGCTAGCAGCAGCAACAGTAGCAACCTCTAGAACAACGCGAACCATGCCCAGGGTAAGAGGCACCATCACTCGAGTATGTAAGAAGGTGGTGAAGTCATCGGGTTCATGATGTCGATCACCATCCTCTCCCAACATCAAGAGGTCGATCTGAGGATCCTTCTGAAGCTTATCAACTACCCTCATGACTGGAGGAAGAGGATATGGAATGTCGAGGTCAGCGATGCCTTGTGCCTGGCAGATGAACCACTTCCCCAGGTAGTAAGCCCAGCTAAAGAGGCCCTCAAACAGAATTCGCATGGTGGAGGCATGCCATACAGCGACATAGGTCCTCTTCAACGCCTAGGGAATGCCCGCCCAAGGATGCCAGTCAACCTGTGGAAGCAGACGTCAGATGTCAGAAATCATTGCAGTATAGGAAGAACAGTGCAATATGAAATTAGCAATGTGAGAATAATAGTAGTATGGAAACAATAGCATGGAAATGTGAAGACTAGTATTTTCTTACCTAATCCACCGTGATCATGTCAAAGAAGCGGTGAAAGTAGAGGAAGTCTCGGTTCACACAACGGAAGTGCTCAAATCGAGAGTTATAGTACTGGAAGCGGGGTACTAACAACTCAATCGGCCTCACTGGGACCGGAGCTAGAGAGGTGAAGTATGTGTAAACCTAGAGTTGTAAGTAGAAAAAGACAAATAAAAAGGAAATGCAAAGTCAAGATGAGCAGAAAATGTAGAATTGAATAGAATGTAAAGATGCATAGAAAAAGTAAATATGAGGTGTACCTTCCAAACCATCCAGTAGCCGCCAAGTGAATCTATCTTGCGGCAGGATATAGAGCTCGTATAACAGTATAAGGTCGCCAGGCCGACGCCACCCCAGTTGTAATCTGTCACCTGTGGTAGTTGTACCAGTGCCCCTAGAAGATATAACCCCACGGTATTTTTCCTGTTCGTGAACAAGATAGTATTGAGGAGATACATAAAGAAGCTGTGGGTATACTGAGTGACCTCATCTGAAGTAGCGGGCTAGGACTCAGAGAAATTATCATAAAACCAATTACATCTCACCATCCCGTGACTGGTGATGTCCGAGATCGCCCCCAAGAAGCTGACGCTGTGCGGCTCTCCACTGCGTCATGTCAGGATCACATGGGATCGGGCTGCCAACCCTGACTCGCAGGCCAATAAGCATCGAGAAATCGTACGGGGTTAGAGTCATCTCCATGATCGATGAGAAGTGGAATGAGTCCCTAGTGTCCCACCATCTCTCTACTAGGGCCCTATACAACAGCGACTCTGCCCTCATCTGTATGAGCCCTAAGCAAAAAGGCCCAAAGCCAGCGGCATCAACCAGTGCGCGGACCTCTGCGGGCAGTCTCTTATACCAGCACTGGGGGCCGGATATGGATCTATTGCCGCCAATCCTCCTAGCTATCACCTGTAAATGAGGAGTGTGTATGGTATTCACTAGTGGTCTACTTGCGAGATTCAACAACGTATCAAAACAAATGAAGGTTACTTAACGTAGAAGCATTGGTGGATAAGTACTTCACGGGCTCTCGCAGCAAGATGTCCTCGTTTATCTTGGGGATGAGGACCTCAAATCTCAAAATACCACCTAGGGGCCGAGCATGTGTGCGTGGTCGGTAGGTGGCCGCATCAAATGGCCTATCAACGAGGGGAGGCAACGTATGAGCATCCTTGGCCTCCATATCTGCACCTAAGACGGCCCTAATACCAATGGCAGGGTCCGGGATGGGAACCTCGTCACTAGTCATGGAGAAAATTAGAGAAAAGTGAAGAAAAAGTAAAGCGGATAAGTGAAAATAGGTGGAAATCTCAAATTTCAAACCCTAGGAGAGAGAAAGTGAAGAAATTGTGGAAAATCAAAGGGAAAAGAAGGAAAGTGTGAGCAAAGTGGGCAAATGTGAGAAAAACCAAGGGAAAAGCTCAAACTTCACCAAATTAAGTTTTGTTCGGTTCAAAATATAGAGGAGGGAAAGGGTTTCAAAGAAAATTTTGTGAGGATTGTTGGGTAATTCAAGAAAAGGGAAAATCTAGAGAGAAACGGAGGTTAGAGAAAGAGGGGAGGGAGTTCCGGATGAGAGGGTGTGAGAAAATAAGGGTTTGAGTTTGTTTAAAACATGCTTGGCCTGCAGAATGCCAGAAACTGTCCCTGCCACTATCGAAGCCCGACCGGTTGTTTTGGCGCCCGGCCATGCTTCATCAAGGCCCGGGCTAGCTCTTAGCGTAAACTCAGTTCAGTTTTTTTCCTTTATTTTATTTCTTGTATTATGGGGCTTTAATCTAAAAAAAAAAAAAAAAAAAAAAAAAAAAAAAAAAAAAAAAAAAGAAAAAAAAAAAAAAAAAAAAAAAAATGAGAAGAAAAAAAAAAAAAAAAGACAATGAAGAAAAAGAGTTGAAAAAGAGAGAAAAGAAAGAGAAGAAGAAAAACAATGAAAAAAAAAAAACAAAGGAACAAAGGAAAATAAGGCAAGAGAAAAATGAGTGGTTATAAAAGAAGAATTTCGGAAAGAAAAAGAGAGGAATTTTGTTCATTCTATTATATTTTGTTTTATTGTGTAGATGCATAATTTGATTTATTTGTTTCTTGATTTAAATTGTGTAAACTTAGTTATTTAACTCATAGTTTAACTTATGATTTGATTTGATTTGTTTAAAACTTTTAATTAGTTTGAACTTTTAATTATTTTGCCTGAATCGTAGTTCGTTCCATTTTTTCGTAAACAAACGATATTGTATGTATGATTCATTCAGAGGAGTTCCAGATAAAATCATTCGCGCCATAGTAAAATCATCATCCATTTTACAACCAAATTGAAACGCGGTGCGTTGTATTCATTGTTTCAACACATGGGCAAATTGGCTTTCACTTTACTATATCGCGTTGATTGCTTTGGCCTTACGTGTCTCTATGTAGAATTCGTGTTTGTTTTCAATTCACATTTATGCGTTGTGTCTTGATTTGAATTATCTGCATGGACTATGTTTTTCCGAGGTCTTCCTGGGGGAGTTAGTTTCGTTTTACCAAATTCTAAAAATTTATTTGATCTTCCATTGATCAATCTTTCCTTCTCTCACATGCAACGCGTTAGGATTGTTTCCATTCGGTTAAAAATGGCAGGTGCGCCTATTCGTTCGCACCAATCTTTCCTCCTCTCGGGTGCGACGCGTTAGGATTGTTTACCCTAGTTAAAAACAGCAGGTGCGCCTGTTTGTTCATACCACATTTCCTCATCTCATGTGCGACGCATGAGGATTGTTTACCTTAGTTAAAAACAACGGGCGTGTCTCGGTGTTCACACCACCTCTCCTCCTCTTGTATGTGACGTGTGAGGATTGTTTACCCTAGTTAAAAACGGCAGGTGCGCCTGTTCGTTCACACCAACCTTTCCTCCACTCACGTACGACGCGTTAGGATTGTTTACCTATTTAAAAACAGCGGGTGCGCTCATTGTTCACACCACCTTTCCTCCGCTCGCGTGCGACACGTTAGGATTGTTTACCCCGGTTAAAAATGGCAGGTGTGCCTGTTTGTTCACACCACCTTTCCTCCTCTCGCGTACGATGCGTTAGGATTGTTTACCTCGGTTAAAAATAGCAGGTGCGCTTGTTCGTTCACACCAATCTTTCCTCCTCTCGCGTGTGATGTATTAGGATTGTTTCCTTCGGCTAAAAACATCAGGTGTGCTCAGTGTTCACACCACCTTTCCTCCTCTCACGTGCGACACGTTATGATTGTTTGCATCTGTTAAAAACATCAGGTGCACTTGTTTGTTCACACCACCCTGCCTCCTATTGCGTGAGACGCGTTAGGATCTAGGTTGAGACCTCGGGTGCGCTCGATGGTTACGTTGCCCTTCACCCTTCCTATGCGAGGCGTAGTTAGGTCTGCATTTTCTTACATCCTTTCTACGTGAGATGTAGGTTGGTTTGTGCTTTCTTTGTCCTTTTCATGTGAGACGTGTTTGTTTATTCACTTCTTTCTGTGTGAGACACGGCGGGATTTGTTTTGCTTTGATGTACATTTTTGTTTAAACATTGCTTTCTTGTTTAGATTGTAGCATTGTTTCATTGCTTTATTGGCATTCAAGTGTTTTATTGCATGGTTTCATTGCATTGTTTTATTGCATGATCATAAGTTATTTGCTACATATCATGTTGCATTTTGCCTTTGATTTCAATCTTTGCATTTATGTCTTGATTTCTTGCCCAAGCCTTGCGGCCTTGTCAAATGGGTTGTCTTCGGGCTTTGACATTTACTCACGTCACTTTATGACTTCGAGCTCTGTCAAAGAAGGGCAACTATAGACACCCCATTTTTGACCGCCCACAAGGCTCGAGTGCTTTGCCTGATACACTTGATGATGAAAATGGTGTTGTGCATGGTTCGAGGTTTCAATGAAAGGGCCATGTTTAAGCTCCGAAACAATACCAATCCTTCCATATTCCCACTGATTATACCCAAGAAACCTATTTTTACACATTATGCCACCCTATACTGAGTCTGAAGCAGAAAAACAAGGGAACACGTTGAGGGTCGGCTATGGCTATTGAAGGTCGGCCGTGCCTTAGTAGCAAGAAACACTATTCTGGGTGGGAGAATAGTTATGACCCCTCTTGCTCAAATTCTATAAAAACGAAGTTGTATCTCTATTTTAAGGGTTGAAAAATTTCTAAAAAACCTCTACACCTTCTTGAGAGCTTCTTCTTGTTGTGCAAACAACCCTTTGAGAAAACCTATCACCTTGAACCTATATCCATATATCATATACACCTTCACACCTGAGCCTTGGAACCTTGGTTGAGCCTTGAACACCATAATTCAAGCTTGAGATTGTGTTGGGACTTAGTTTAATTCATAAATAAAAAGCTCACTTATTTGAGAGGTATAAGTTTGTCATCCTCTATATTACTTCTTGTTCTATCTATTGCCATCTAATTCTTGTAGTTTTGTATTGTTTTGATTCTCTTCCAAGTGTTTAAGTTTGGGTTTGGAGAGCTACTAAAAGGATAGAGAGAGTTTACACTCTTTTTTACACCTTTATCTATAGTTCAAACCCTTACTTTTACACTCTTTTTCTTTGCTCTCTAAATTGATTTTCAGAGTTAGAAAGAAGCTAAAAGTCATACTTTGAAGTTTCAAAAGTGGAGGGGTTAGCCACCCCTCCTTGTTCTTGCTTACTAGCCTTGTTTTCTCTCTTTGTTGATTAGCTTTTTAGGCTCTTTTCATGTACTTTGAGCCACTATTTTTCACCCATTAAGGGCTGTTTTAGGACTGTTCTAGGTTGTTTAAATAGTTCATGCTTTGATTAGCTTGATTGTTGTCTCATAAGTTTGCATACATAGCTTGTTGAATATTGTTATAAGCTTTTCCTTGTCTAATTTCCATGTTTAAGAACCTCATTTTAATAATCAACTTGCCATTAATTTCTTTCATTTGAGAGTTGTTTCAATCGGTTGACTATTATTCAAAACATGAACTAGAGATCTATGCTTAATGGCTTAATCTCTATGGAGGTTCATTGTCAACGGTGTAGTCTCTTATTCTTGTTGAGAATCACCTCTCGTTTGACATGTTTCTCACTTAGTGGACGTAATAATCACATTGGACTTAATGAATTAAAGGATGAAAAAGACTAATGAATTTGGCTTAAAATGAATCAACTCACATAAAGAAAATGAGTTATATTGCTTGGGTTTGGTCGGACGTTATGTCAAGTCCATTGTGTCAAGGGTTGTCTTACATCAATCCATGATGTTTTGATGAACCTTGAAGCATCTCTACTCCCTCTTTAAGTTCACTCTATGATAGGAGGGAGGGGTGGCTGTTGTTCATTGCATTTATTGATTTTTGTCCAAATTGTATTAGAAATCATCAAATAATCAACTTGCTCATTGATGGTTTTAGAAACAATTCCAACATTCTCTCAAGGCTTTCCCATGTCAAAGAAGTGTGAAAGGGACAAACGGAGTCTAGAATAACTCTGTCTGCACTGTTTTCACTTTAGAGCACAAAACAGGATTTTGCATGAAATTAAGGCACGACTGACCTTTTTGGGGCCCGGCCGGGCCTCATTGAGGCACAGCCAGTCATCAATGTTTGGTCAATAGTATGTTTACAGAAAACAAAAGGCAATGGCTGAAGGTAAAACAGAACAGACCTAGGCAGACAGAGTTGTTCTTGGACACTATGCATGCAACCCTTGTGCATCCTTGCTTACATCATTATTGTAAATTAATGCTCCGAGTATTGTTGTAATTAATTTATTTATTATTTTTAAAATTAGTCTTGTTAATTATTAGTGTTGTAATTATTACTATTATTTATTTGTAATTGTTATACCTAGTTAGCTTAAATAGCTAGTTCGTTTCTCATTCTCATTATTATCCTTGTTGTAATAGAGTAGTTAGCAAGTTAATTCTTTGTTTATTCATTCATTTGGTTCTATAATAATTAGTTTAATTCGGACTTTCCGACTTTGATTCACACCCTCTTGCACGAGGGCAAATGTGTAATAAGTTATATGTCTTCCAACCCCACATCTTTCTCCTTTTTACTTACTTGCTTACAATGGTTAGTATAGGAACATTATTTTCAAATTAGCATTCTTATGCTTTGCATCCATTGTCTTGCAAGCATCCAAGGTTCGGCTCATCATACTAACCCAATATCAATGTTCAAATTCATTACTTGAATATATGCTTTATCATGTGTCTTGAATGAAGTCATATGCCATGCTCATAACCAAGCCTATAAAATATATAATGGGTGTGTTGCATTTAGTCATATTGTATTAATTAGGAGCATGCATATTTTTTCTAATTATTTTGCTTTGTTTTGGCTCAGAGTACTATGTGAGTAATTTTGTATTTTAGCATCTTACATCGAATGTTTGTGTTACCATGTCAAAGCATGTTCATCATGAGGCTAAGTGTTTAAATGATATAACTGTTTAAATGTCCGTGGATGAAGGCTAATTGCTTGAATTGAGATAATTTGATTAATGTCCATTTTAAGCCCACTTTTTCAAGTAGCAAATTCACAAAACAATTTCAAATAAAATACGAAATCAAATGTTCCAATTCTTGCAAATTATTCTATACTTGTGTATGCATCACATAGTAAAAATAGCTAATAATCAGAACGAGAGCATATAATGTAAATAAAAATCACATCATGTTTAGTAAAGGCCGATCTTTGATCGGGTGAGTGGGGTGCTCAATTCATGACCTTCTCCTCTCATACCTAAGTTCCCGACTCGAGACACTTT